CTCTCCTCCCCTGCAGCCTCTGCACGCCATGCCGGCAGGTTGGAGAAGGGACATGGGATTCCGGGGGGCAGTCAAGGGACAAGGAGCAGGGGGGGTTGGATGGGTGAGGGGTTCAGGGGGGGCCTGTCAGGGGGTGGGAGTATGGAGAGGGGTCAGGGCAGTAAGGGGACAGGTAGGGAGTGGAGTCCTAGGGGGGCAGTTAGGGTGGGGGGTCTCAGGAGGGGGCAGTCGGGGACAAGGAGAAGGAAGGCTTAGATAGGGGGTGGAGTTCCAGGGGGCAGAGTTCCAGGGGGCGGTAAGGGGCAGGGGTCCCGGGAGGGGGCGATCAGGGGACAAGGAGCCGGGGGGGTTGGATGGGTTGGGGGTTCTGTTGGGGGCCGTCAGGGGGCAGGAGGTGGGAGGGAGTGGATAGGGGGCAGGGTTAACCCCCCCAGTGGAGTGTCCTCTTTTTTGAATGTTAAAATATGATAACCCTACCGTTCATAGTGCCACCCCATTCTAGCAGTGATCTCTCCATTCACAGCAAGCTGCAGCATGAGGTCTCAGCTACCTCACTCCCTCCCCCTCCCTTTCCTGTTGATAGCTGCCAAGGGAATGCTGGGAAATGTAGTTCTTTCCCTGCTCCAGGACTGGCTCTATAGGCAGGGAGCTAACCAAGGAACTACAACTTCCAGGGCCCCCTGTTGGTTCTCAGCTCCCATGGTGGATCCCTGCCGCCCCTGCAAATGTGCTGCCCCAAGCACCTGCTTGCTTTGCTGTTCTTACAACTCTTCATTCCCCTCTGTTTTCACTCCACTTAAGCCCCACAATGCACTGCTCTCTTCACATCCTGCTCACACTCGCTCTGCACCTTCTTCCATCCAGTCCTCAAGGCTTAGAACTTCCCCACTCATTTGCTCTGCTGCTTGCCAGAGTCCCCCCTGGAAATAACCACATGGCTTCCAGGAGGCCAGTAAGGCCTTACTGTCTGTAGGAGGTTGTAAACCCCTCATTCCCTCTGACATGCTAATGCATTTCTCAAATATGGAGCTAATCAGCTGTGTGCCAGCATCGCCACTCCAGCTGGGTGCGCGCTCTGGGACAGGGCTCTTCTCTTTATAAGAACTAGGGGTCACCCAAGGAGATGAATGGGCTGCTGCTGTTTAAAACAAACAGAAGGAAGTATTTCTTTACACAACACACAGTCAACCTGTGGAACTCCTTGCCAGAGGATGTTGTGAAGGCCAAGACTATATCAGGGTTCAAAAAAGAACTAGATAAATTCATGGAAGATAGGTCAATCAATGGTTGTTAGCCAAGATGGGCAGGGATATGTCTCTAGCCTTTGTTTGCCAGAAGCTGGGAATGGGTGACAGGGGATGGATCACTTGATGATTACCTGTTCTGTTCATTCCTTCTGGGGTATCTGGCATTGGCCACTGTCAGAAGACAGGATATTGGCCTAGCTGGATCTTTGGTCTGACCCCGTATGGCCATTCTTATGTTATGTTCTTATTTCCTTGTCTGTCATGAGCTGGGTGCTATTGGTGGCATTATCGACATTGTGACTAGCTGATGAGTTCAGTAGATTTTTATGGGGTTTTGCTGATTTTTCACATGAGGAGAAACGTGAATGAACATTGCAGAGGAAATCCAATGTTATAGCAGTTATGCTGCATGGTGTTAATGGCACAGCTTTGATCTGCAGGCAGGAGCGGTGCCAGGGTTTTTGCCGCCTTACGCGGCAACGCTCCTCCTCAGAGCATTCGGCGGTGGGGGTCCTTCCACTCCGCGTCTTCGGAGCGCTTCGGCGGTGGGTCCCAGAGCGAGTGAAGGACCCGCTGCCGAAGAGCCCCGAAGACGCGGAGCGGAAGGACCCCCGCCGCCGAATTGCCGCCGAGAATGGCAAAATGCCGCCCCCCAAATCCTGCCGCCCTAGGCAACCGCCTAGGGTCGCCTAGTGGAAGCGCCGGCCCTGTCTGCAGGCAATCACATACCTCAGAGCTCAAGTGGATGGGTGTGCTAGCCATCCTCACTTCAGGCTAAATGGAAGAAGCAATTAAGCTCGTTTATGGCGTAGCGTAGCTGAAATAACAGAAGCCACCGTCCAAGGCACTGGACCATATGGAAGGCCTGAGCAAGAACTAAGGGCAAATAAGAGGAGTTTCTTTGGGGACTGATTTAAAATGCAGTGATGGAACACTGATTGGTTGCCTTTGTGAGGGTCAGAGGTGGAAAGTGACCAGCAATCCCAGAGAAGCAACTATGTGGATAGCCCTGAGCAGGAGCAGAGACAGAGCTTCTGGAGCTACAGGGCTGTCTGGAGAAGCAGGCTCGGAAACTGTCAACAAGGAAACTGCCTAATGCTGTTTGTTCCTGCTGTGTTCAGGGAAACAGGGCTGTGTGTGTGTGCTTTGTAAATAAGCAGAATTGCCCAGAGCAATACCTGACTCTACCATAAATTTCCCCTAATGGAAACAGCCTAGTGAGGCCCCGCCCTGCACCAATATTTGCTAACATATCGGGACAAGGGGCAGCATCACAAAGGGCCTAAAATGTAGTGTGTAGGCAGCAGTTTGCTAATGTTGATCTGCATCTTTGGACCTATATTATGTCATATCCTCCTCCCCTCTCCCCCCTCCCCGTAAAGTTCATTCATGTTTCTCTTAAGGACAAACTTAGTTATTAAAAAAACATTAAAACCTAGAAGAATCAGCTAATTCTTCACTTAAAGCCTCACTGAAATCTGTCACTTGTGTAACACAGCCAGACACAGGCATTGCACACTTTGCTCTCGTGTCACACGCACAGCTGGTTCCTGTCAGGCATGGGCAGGTGTGAAGGTTGAGAGGTTCATAGGGGTCTTTGTAGGTAAATTCTGTAGCTCTGGATGGCTGCATGTCTTTAACAAGTGCAGTTTCACTGTCTAGTTCTGCTAACAGGCCAGTAAGTGCACTGCACCCTCTTTACTGAGTCATGGCACTTTCACACTGCGGGGACTCACTCCAGCACTGCCTCAGCTGTGTTGAACTTGGGGAAGGCGAGGCAGCTTTTGCCAGGTCTGGCTTGGGCGCTAGTGGGCACGATTGGCCATGTTGGGTTATTGTATGGGAGAAGAGTTGGTGGCAGAATGCACTGCTGGATTGCTCCACCTCCTAGCACAGGTGTAAATGACAACACACAGGTGAATCAGCCCCTTGCTGAGGTGACCCATCCTTCTTGCCAAGGAGGCCAGCAACCCTGACCCTCTGTTCCAGCCTAGATTCTTCAGCCGGGAACTGCCCTGCTGTAGCTCAGCACCCCCAGCTCTCTCCCCAGCTGCTGAGCCCACTCCATGGTTTTGTTTTGACACCTGTTATACCATCGGCTCCTACTCAGAGACTAGAAGGCATCCCCTGCTCCCCCACCACCTGCTGTGCTTTGGCACCCACTCAGCCGAGGTGATTGGGGTCTCTGTGCTGGACAGGCACTGGGGCGGCTGGAGAGGGCTGTTGGTGGCTCCCGGCTCACCCAGCTTTCCCTGTGAGTGAAGGAGATCAGTACCACCCCCTTGCACTCCTGAGTGGTCCAGGGCAGCTGGCTGACCCAGCCCTGTGACTGGGATATCAGGCTCCATCAAGTCTGGCTTCAGCTCTCGGTTCAATTGCGGCTACTAATGACTAAGGAAAGGCCATGGTTATTTCACTGCTTGACAGAGCAGATTTGGCTTGGCTTTTCCCTAGGTGTGGTAGCTTCCTGTAACAATAGGGGCCCAGGAGCATGTGCCACTGGGCCTGCCACCATAGCAGCCCAAATCCTGGGCCGTGCCACTTGTTAGCTCGTCTGAAGGGTGCTGAGCATGCCTGCACCACCCTGGGGAGCTCTGAGTTTCCAAGGCTGCCTCTGTCTCCTTTGTGTCCCAGCGAGCTGGCTGTGTGTATGCAGAGCTGGAGTTGCTATGTGAGGAGGGAGGGACTGAACTGACCCTGGCTCAGCAAAAGTTAGAGCTCAATGTCGGTTACTAAGCGAAGGAACTCACAACAGGCTGGCTATGCAGCAGAGCAGTGCTGGTCTTTTGCCCCTCAGATCGACTGGCCGGGCAGAGGAGGGAGCCCAAGCCTGGGGCCTCAGCCCAGGCCATGCAGCAACAAGCATTGAGATGGGCTGAGAAGCAGGAAAAGCTTCACTCACTGCTGGTGGCTCTGATAAAACGTACTCAACTCTGCAGCCCTGGCAAGTGCCGCTCGGGTTAAACAGCTCCGGGCTGCTGGGGCTGTGGCTAGACTCTGGCTATGGACTGGGGTCCCTGCCCTCCCAACCAGGAGGAGCTGCAGGCCCCTCAGCAGTCCATTCCTGAGTGCCCCATCTGCTATAGCCCCTACGACAACATCTTCCAGAGGCCCCTGCTCCTCCCTTGCGCTCACACCTTCTGCCTGGAATGCCTGTCGAGGATCTGCGTCTTCGTGAAACAAGCCCAGACCTTCCCCTGCCCTCTCTGCAGAGCCCAAGTGCATGTCCCCGACGGAGGGATCCCCAAACTCCCGCCCAATATGGATGTTGTGACCCAGTTCCCTCCATGGCTGCAGACCCTGCAGGAGGTCTGGCTAGATGGACACAGACTGTGCTGGATCAAACAGCCGTCTTTGTCCTGTCAAGTGAGTGCCGGTGAAGAAGCCCTTGAGATGCTGGTTACAGTGGAGTTATTATACAACCCAGCCCCTCGGGACGTCAGTAGAAGAGATCTGATAGGTATCCACCATCCCTCCCGCTTGTCCATGTGCAGGGGGCTATGCCAGCTCCTATGGGAGCGTCGCCTGGCTGTGTTCTGGATTGCTATCCTGCTGCTGGTATTGATCGTTTTACCCATCATTTTTATACCTGATTCCCCCATGACCAGGACTCCAGAAGGTCAGCACCAGGTGGGGACCTTTCCGACAGCCGATGCTCCAAGCAGCAGTCTGAGCAGGTCACAGAGCTTCTAGCAACTTGCCATCCTCTGCTTGTGTGTAACACAGTGCACCTACTGCTTTACTTCTCCTGCCCAGGAGAGCCGGAGGGGGCTCACAGGTGGGCCGATGGATAGCTTGGTGACGGGGAGCTGCTGGGGCTGGACCATAGCTTTTGCCCCAGCCTTGAGAGGCCTGGCTTCAGCTGCTGTGTTGTTCTCAAGGACTCTGCTCAGGCCCAGCTTGGGAAGGTTTCCAAGGCCAAAGACCAAATTCAGGCCTTACGTAAATCAGCCTAATTCTAATGAAGCCAGGGGAGTTGCACTTGCTTATACTGGGGCTGAGCTTGGCTCCAAACATGTTTCTGCACTGTGATAACTGTAGCCCCTTTGCCTTGGTACATGCAGATCAGCTCAAGTCCAGGGGAAGAGACACAGCCCAGGAACGTTTAACATTGAGGGACGGAATGGAGAGGTAAATACACTCGGCATAAAGTGCCCTTTGCAGTAGCCAAATGCAACAGATGCAGACTGTCATTGGAGGGCACAGAGGGTGATGCCACCCACCTGCCCGGTCCCTGAGTTTGCCCTTGCCACATGACAAGGAGCTGCAACAACTTGCTCCTGAAATGCCAGATGAGAGGACATGAGCATGGTGACTTTCCATGTGGGGTGGGGTGGGGGTGGGGATGGAGGTTATGCAGCAGATGCCAACCTCGCCTCCCTCTAAAATATGCAATAACTGCTTCTATTTGACTGAGGCAACCAGTGCCAAAAGCAAGACAGAGGGGCAGATGCAGGTGGGAGCTGCTGGAAGATGGCTACAGTAGAGAGGGTAAAAGGTAGATGACATGTGCATGGCTAAAGTAGAGGACTGGGAGTCAGGACTCCTGGATTCTGGTTTTGGCTCTTCCATAGGCTGCCTATGTGAACTGGGTCAAGTCACAGCTGCTGCCTGCCTCAGTTTCTCCATTTGTAAGATGGGATAATTACACCTGCTTCCTTGTGGGATATGAGGGTTCATTAATGGTTCAATGGTACTGGTTCATTATTAAATGGAAATGGTAGAATTCTCAATGATAATACAGAAAACGCAGAAGTATTCAATAAATATTTTTATTCTGTATTTGGGGGAAATGATGATGTAGGCATGTCATATGATGCTGACATTCTTTCCATTCCACTAGTATTTCTAGAGGCTATTAAACAGCCGCTACTGATCCAGATACTGTTCATCCAACAGTTTGGAAAAAAACTGGCTGAGGAGCTCTCTGGCCCATTAATGTTGATTTTCAATAAGTCTTGAAACACTGGTTTTAGAAGACTGGAGGAAAGCGAATGTTGTGCCAATATTTTAAAAGGGTAAATCGGCCACCCCACGTAATTATAGGTTTATCAATCTGACATTGATCCCAGGCAAAAATAATGAAGCGGCTGATACAGGACTCGATTAATACAGAATGAAAGGAGTGCAAATCAAGGTGGAGTTATGGAAAATAGATCCCATCACACTAAACTGATACTTGTTTTGGCTGAGATGACAGGTTGTGTTGCTCAAGGCAATCGTTTGATGTAATATTCTTAGACCTCTCTACGGCATTTGACTGGATCCTGCACAACATTGTTATTAAAAAACTAGAACAATATAAAATTAGCTTTACACACATTACATGGATTAAAATGTAATTGTGACTGGGGCAGCATCATCAGACAGGTGTGTTTCCCGTGGGGTCCCGCAGGGATCACTTCTTGGCCCTAGGCTAGTTAATGTTTTTATCAATGATCTGGAAGAAACCATGAAGTTATCACTGGTAAATTTTGCAGATGACACAAAAAGGGGGGGAATAATGAGGAGGACCAGTCACTGATTCAGGGCAAACAGCTTGGCAAACTGGGCACAAGTGAACAATATGCGCTTTTAATATGGATAAATGTGAAGTTTCTGTGAGCTTTACACACAGGCAGAGCCTGACTTCTGCTCACAGCCTGACTTTGCTAACTTTGCTGTATATTAACAGGCTTGACCAATACTTTAGTTCAGACCTCAGGCCTCATACTGAGCCTCTGATGCAAGGCCTCATGTCTTAGGCTAGAAATAAACGTAGCCCATATAGGTGACTCTACCCCGGGAAGCAGTGTCTCTGAAAAAGATTTGGGGATTGTGGCGAATAATCAGCTGAATATGAGCTGCTGGTGTGACACTGAGGCCAAAACAGGGGAAACTTGAGTAGGAGTAGAGAGGTTATTTTATTTCTGTATTTGGTACTGGTGAGACGGCTGCTGGAATATTGTGTCCTGGTGCCCACAATTCAGGAAGGATGTTGCTAGATTGGGGAGCAGTGGCTCCGGTAGGTGGAGGGGGAGGGGCAGGGGGTCTCCCTGCACTGCCCTCACCTGCAGGCACCAACCCTGCAGCTCCCATTGGCCGGGAACGGGGAACCATGGCCAATAGGAGCTATGGAGGAAGTGCCTGCAGGCAAGGTCAGCATGCAGTGCCATCTGCCCCTTCCCCCCCACCTCCCCCGAGCCGCTGCCAGACATGCCAGCCACTTCTGGAAGTGGTGCGGGGCCAGGGCAGGCAGGGAGCCTGCATTAGCCCCACTTCCCTGCCACCCAGGAGCCGCCTGAGGTAAGCGACGCTTGGTCGGAGCCCGCACCCCGAACCTCTCCTGCACGACCAAGGGTCGAGGTGGATTCTCCATCACTGACAATGTTTAACTCAAGACTGGCTGTTTTTCTAAAAGCTCTGCTCCAGGGGTTATTTTGGGGCAGGTCTCTGGCCTGAATCACACAAGGGATCAGCCCAGATGGTCACATTGGTCCCTTAGGGGTCTGGAGCACATGACTTATGAGGAGAGGCTGAGGGAACTGGGATTGTTTAGTCTCCAGAAGAGAAGAATGAGGGGGGATTTGATAGCTGCTTTCAACTACCTGAAGGGGGGGTTCCAAAGAGGATGGAGCGGCTGTTCTCAGTGGTGGCAGATGACAGAACAAGGAGCAATGATCTCAAGTTGCAGTGGGGGAGGTCTAGGTTGGATATTAGGAAACACTATTTCACTAGGAGGGTGGTGAAGCACTGGAATGCGTTACCTAGGGAGGTGGTGGAATCTCCTTCCTTGGAGGTTTTTAAGGCCCGGCTTGACAAAGCCCTGGCTGGGATGATTTAGTTGGGGATTGGTCCTGCTTTGAGCAGGGGGTTGGACTAGATACCTCCTGAGGTCCCTTCCAACCCTGATATTCTATGATTCTATGATTCTGATCTTGGAATCTAGGAATCTCTGTGACTTGCTCTGAGATCCCTGGGTTGGCGGCCCCACAATGAGGCAGCAGAGTTTCAGGAGGAGGCGAGCTGTGTGGGACTCTGATTTATGTGGGATCTGTTTTCCTTTGATGCAGCGTCTCTAGCCAATGCAGCAGCAACTCTCCCCAGCAATGGCCTGGCTGACTGGTCCCATTGCGCACTCTCCAGAGCAGGGTGGAATATCGCCTGGGGTCGAGACTGCCTGGCTGCAGCCAGGGGCACTGGCACCCATAGGGTTTTTGCCTCCATCCCAGCAGGCATAGGGAACCTGCAGCTGTGTGGGACCTTGTGAAAGAGGGACAGGTATCAGCGTCTGCTCATGGGGTCAGACAGGGCAGACTCAGGGAGCTGAGCAAACATGGTGAGGTCAAGGGTCACTGATTCTTAGGGCAGAATTTCACCTGTTCCTCTTCCCCGTCTGCAGCCATGGAGAGGGCGTGGCCCCACTACTGGGCCCCGCACCCTTTCCTTTGGGGCCATCTGGGTCTGAGTCAGTCCTGCCCTAGCACCTCTCCGCCACACCCAGCCCTGAAAGGGTCAATTCTGTGCAGCTCCCTGCTCCCACCAGCTCAGCCAGGAGGAACTGAGTCAAGAGCTGGATTGGGAGATCCTCAGGCCAGAACAAAGTGCCCTCACTCTCGATCACAGGATTGCAGCGAGAACTCCTCCCCCACTTTACTGTATTTGGAGCCAGGGCATCATTGCCCAAGCAGATCTTGAAGCTTTCTGAAACCTTAGAGCAGGGGTAGGCAACCTATGGCACGCGTGCTGAAGGCGGCACGCGAGCTGATTTTCAGTGGTGCACACACTGCCTGGGTCCTGGCCACCGGTCCGGGGGGCTCTGCATTTTAATTTAATTTTAAATGAAGCTTCTTAAACATTTTAAAAACCTTATTTACTTTACATACAACAATAGTTTACTTATATATTATAGACTTATAGAAAGAGACCTTCTAAAAATGTTAAAATGTATTACTGGCACGCAAAACCTTAAATTAGAGTGAATAAATGAAGACTCGGCACACCACTTCTGAAAGGTTGCCGACCCCTGCCTTAGAGCTTTGAGACCAACAAAAGGGCAATGGGAATGTGGCTCAGCCATGGCTCCCATGCCTGACATGAGATCTATACATAACAGGGGTGCTGTGTCTCAATGAGCAGAAGCCAGAGAGGAGGCAGTGTGGCCTAGTGGATGAGGCACTGGACTGGAACTCAGGTGACCTGTATTCTAGTCTTGGCTCTGGCCTGCTGGGTGACCTTGAGCAAGTCACCTACATGCAAACAGGGGAGTCTGAGCGGGAGTTTGTGGGAGGGACCGGTAATATAATTATTATGGTTAGGAAGGGCCGCATCACCAGTGTCAACACTGCGCCTGTCTCCTCCACCTGTGATCAGACAGTGGGCTTGTCTATACTACCCGCCAGATTAGTGGGCAGCAATCGATGCACGGGATGTTGATTTATCATGTCTAGTATGGAAGCAATAAATCAACCGCTGAGCACTCTCCTGTTGACTCTGGTACTCCACCAGAACGAGACGCGCAAGCGGAGTCGACAGGAGAGTGTCAGCTGTCAACTTACCGCAGTAAGTAGATCTAAGTACGTCGACTTCAGCTATGCTAGTCACGTAGCTGAAGTTGTGTATCTAGATTGACCCGCACGGTAGTATAGACAAGCCCAGAGAACCTGACCATGGATGCTTCTATCCAGACCCAGGTGTGGATTTGCAAAGACTGT